GACGCAACAGAGAACTGGATTGTCCTGAAATGGGTTTACACTTGAATCCGATCACAATCCATCACAGTACAAGACTTGGCCTTGAAGGAGGACTTGCACATATGACCAACAGAGTAATCACATTTTTCCCTGATGATGGAGGCAAAGCAATTCTCCGAAATGTTTTTCTTCCTTTCTGATATGATACGGCTGGTAGTCTGAGATCTTACAACTTTTAGTAGCCGTGGAAGAGTCAAATGTTATACCATTGTTAAAGCTTGTAGCAATAAGTCATTTTATTTTAATACTGACATAATAACTTATTAACAGTGATCATTTACAAATTCAGAATACTGGTGTCTCAAAATTAAAAGCGAATATTTGGTTTTAGTAGGCAATAATTTTAGACTTCTTAATTCCAGTTGCTTTTTAATTCTACTGGACCATTTCTGAGAAGAAGCGATTGAAGGTCATTATTTAATTGTTGCCCCTCTTAAGAAAATATATTTATGAAAATCGCAACTTTAACCATGCGCCTTGTCTCAGCGTATTATTGTGAACCAATTATAATTTAACCTGTTCCATATTTTTTTATTTAAATCCCTCAAATAATCTTTGTTTACAAGTGATACTTAGTAACGAATAACCGCCTCTGTGGTGTAGTGGTCAGCGTTCCTGGCTACAGATCCAGAGATCTGGGTTCGATTTCCGCCGCTACCAGATTTTTAGGCCGCACCATAGCTCGAACGGTTAGTCGCTGGCTTCCCACCGCGGTGGCCCGGGTTCGATCCCGGGTCTGGTCAAGTGGGATTTGTGCTTAACAAAGTGGTGCTGGGGCAGGTATTCTCCGGGTACTTCAGTTTCCCTTGCCAATCTTCATTCCACCAATTGCTCCACAATCACCCTCACCTATCATCTGGGGCTGGTACAATAGGCCAGAAGTGGCCGCAGTACAAGGGAGTTAGTCCCACCCCACTAGCAATAAAGAAATTATAACGAATACTGCAACAAATTGTTCGAAAATTTCTGGCACATGATTAAATAAGAATAATTATGCCACTGTGTGGTGCGTTGAAAGTTAGGCTTGCAGCCTGTTTTCGTGATTGGTCCTTGCTTTGCTTACTGTTGATCCATGAAAAAGGAGCAGATTTGTTCATTTGAATCGTTCGTTGGCTTCCAACGGACTATACGGCGTTCTGTCCCGTAAGCACCGCTGTGAGAACCTTAGGTTCTACATAAATTTCCTGCATCACAGCGTTCTTTTACCACCGAATAATAGGATAACTTTGCCCCTTTTCCTGTGTATGCACTGTTCTGTGAAGTTACATTATATGTCGATTCCGTGTCCAAGGATATTACCAAATATTCAAAGAATTCATTGCTTCAGAAGTTGATTCAGAATTGGAGTAGACCAGCAGGTTTACTTCGTAGAAACAGAAGAATATGTGATTAATCTAAGGACGTCGTAACCCACAGCATTACCCAAAATTACACAATCCATGGAGGCTTTCGGTAGACATAACATTAGGTGGAAATGTTTGGAAGTGATCTACCAGTTTCACATTGTACTTCCAGATCCCAGAGAGCCACAACTGCCCTTCTGTATTGATGGGGTCGAAGACTTGTCTGAATACGGTGACCAACAAAGTGATCACTGTCCCAGACAGGAATCGAACTGAATTCGCCCAACTCGTACTAGTTTTACCGCATGTTCAGTGCCGCCTGTTTGTCGTTATTGTCATCGTGATCAATGGTAGGTTCTTCAGTACTGTTTGGGTGTAGGCTGCATGGCCTGAAGTCGAACCTCGGCAGGGGCTTTGGGACTTTCCACTTTACGCAGGCCAGAATGGCTGTTTGCTACAGAGCCTCGCAATCGATGATCGGATATTCGTTTTGCGTGAGGCTGAAGCCGACCGCACATACCCATCTGTTGTTGGCGCTATTGATGCACTAAATTTCAATACACGCTTTTGTGTCTTATTCACAGGATCAGTGTGTCGTTATACTGTTTAGTAGAAGTAGTTCCGTGGGGGTATGAAACTTGGTCTCTGACTTTAAGGGAGGATATATATAGGAATTAAGTTAAGCGTCAAAACAACAAATATACTAGTAGTTACTATAGGATTCTGACGATGGTGTATAACACACTGATATATTGAGTTTTTGGACTTTATCCATCGTCCTGGTTTTTAAGATAACTAATAAAAACACGACGTTTCGGAAACTGGATCTGTTTCCGTCCTCAGGTGAAGGAAAACACCTATTCTGTTGGGTCCGTTAGAAATCACTGGACCTCAATCACCTGAGGACGGAAACAGAACCAGTTTCCGAAACGTCGTGTTTTATTAGTTATCTTAAAAACCAGGACGATGGATAAAGTCCAAAAACCCAATATATCAACAAATTTACTCACTTTTAATGTTTTACAATTCGACTTTTTATTCCTGCTACATGTTTCGGTCGTACAAGACCATCATCAGGCAGTTATATATAGGAATAATTTTAGTTATTAAAAATAGACTGAGGGTGTTCGAGAACAGGGTGTTGAGGAGAATATTTGGACCGAAGAGAGATTAAGTTACAGGAGGTTGGAGAAAACTGCATAATGAGGAGCTTCATAACTTGTACTCTTTCCAAGTATAATTAGAAAGATCAAGTTAAGGAGGATAAGATGGACCGGACATGTAGCACGACTGGGGAGAAGAGGAATGCATATAGGATATTGGTGGGAAAGCCAGAAGGAAAGAGTCCACCACGTAGCTGGGTGGGCATTATTCAAATGGATCTTAGTGTTGTGGATCTATATATCCACTCCCCCATAGGCCTTTATGGCATAGGACTTAGTTAAGCACAGGGGAAACTTTACCTTACCTTAGATAGGGTGGGATAGTATGGATTGGATTTATTTGACTCAGAATGGGGACCAGTTGAGGGTTTTTGTGAGCGCGGTACTGAACCTTCGGGTTCCATAAAATACTGGGAAGTTCTTGACTAGCTGCACAATTGGCGGCTTCTCAAGATGGCCTCAGCTCCATGAGTGAGTGAGTGAGTGAGTGAGTGAGTGACAGTAGCAGCAGTAATGAAGTCAGCAGCCACTCTGTTCTTAGCAAGCAAGTATAGGAACTGGTACATGATGGTCGGCATTTTTATGACTACTCAAACACACGTAAATCAAAACTGAAGTTACAAGANCAGCTTCACGCCCCGGCCGCTTTACCCCCGGTACCCATTGAATAGGTGGTTGGGTGGACCCTAGAACCGGTCNGTACATGATGGTCGGCATTTTTATGACTACTCAAACACACGTAAATCAAAACTGAAGTTACAAGAATAGGCTACATAAAGAGCCTTACAGTGTATACACTTTTTCACCTTGAAGAAAGCAGTCTTCTGGGATTTGGCACCGTGTATATGTGGTGTGACTTAAGACAAACCCAATAATCAACCACATGTACGAATGTCAGGCATGTACAATCATAATTCGAATGATACAACTGCATCTATTTGCGACTTAAGAATACGGGTATATGCGGTAGATAACGTTAGTCTTGTTCACAAAATCCAATATTTCAACATCGCTAGCACCAAAGTTTTTCATTGCAAATGCTTATCAGCTCACATCCACACAGTATATTTTCCAAAGATCCATTTTAATATTATGATTCCATCCCCTTAGAGACGGGATATTTCAGTCGTTATAGCGACGGGCTACGGGTTAGAAGACGGGGGTTCAATTTCAGACAAGGGGAAACTATTTTTTTCTAGTCCACAGCTTCCAGACCAGCTCTGGGGCCCACCCAGCCTCCTATCTGACGGATACCGAGTAATATTTCCCTTAGGGTAAAGCGGACGGTGCTTGAGTATGACCACTCGCCTTCATCTAGTGTCGAGGTCAAGTATGGTGGACCTGTACCTCAACTCCGCAGTACGTCCTCGTGACATAATGTTCAGTTATTTAGACACAGCAACAGTTGTATCATAGTTCTGTGTTCTTGCTTTCCAAGAGATTTTCCGCCAAATTTTTCTTGTTTCCCCTATTGAAGTTGTATGTGCAACCCACCTCTCCTTGTTTCAACATACCTCTAACAGAAGGTGACCTGCATGCATAGTGAGTTCCGCTTACTCATTTTACGTCTTGTACATCCATCTTAATGCAAATGTAACTACATATTGTTTACGTTAATTTCGAGGATTGTTAATATAAATAACATTATTGTTTTCCACGTAACACACCAGGCCATTAAATAGGCCGCAATTAAACCAGCCGATAACCCCTCAGAGCAAGAGGACAGTCCCTTGTATAACGGCGCCTGCTGACTTAACACTGCATGGCTAAATACAATTGAGAACGCAGAAGCCTGAAAACTGAACAGTTTAATTAAACACACCGTTGAATGAACACACTAATGAACAAGCAAATAAATAAAGTAAGATGCAATGCAGGAAATTCAATTCAGTGGCTGAATCAGTGGACAAATTAACTTAAGAGTATAAAAAGGCAAAAATGGATCCATGTAGATTTCGAAAGGATTCATTCTGTCAGTGGTACTTTTTATATTAAAATAAAACGAAATATGAAGTCACAGTTGGAGTATATCTAATTTATTTTATATAGCTCAGGCGGTATAACGACGGAATGGAAAGCTTATTATTCTCTGCTCTGCAGCCAGCCCAGTCTCCTCTCTAATGGGTATCGGGGGCTCTTTCCCCGTGAGTAAAGCGGTCGAAGCGTGAAGCTGACCACTCACCTACATCTAGTACAGAGGTGTGCTGTTTAATCAAATAAGCGCAGGGATGTCTTTACTTTTGCCCCCCCCCCTTTTTATTTCCTTGGCACTACAGCCCCACTGAGCCTAGGCCTACCTCCATGAACTTCTCCGTTCACTTCGGTTTTTCTAGATCTTACACATTCGGTAGGACTCCTTGGGCGGGTGATCAGCCCGTCGCAAGGCCCTCTACCTGTACACAAACACAGAAAAACGCACACACACAAACTAAACATCCATGCCCTGAGTGGGATTCGAACCCACGATCCCGGTTTCCAAGCGAGCGAAGACAGTACATGCCACTTTTGACTTTATGCTGATTAAATACTATTAAAGCTTTGATATGTTACTGTCAATATTGACCATTTTGAGGAAACTTTTTTTTTTTAAGTTAGAACTAACACTACATCAAAGTTCATTCATATGAACCGTTATTACGTGCAACTTTCTTGATAATTGGTGCGTCGTACTATGCAGTGTGTTGCTCCTTCTTGCTCATGTTTTATGGTTTCTGTAAATGAAATACAGAGATATCAAATCCTGATTTGGTGTATTCTTTTTAATCATCAGAAATATAAGCATTATTTATTGTCAGCAATTTGCAGTATAGATTAGATAAGTATTTTGCAAGTACGGTGATAACCTATATTTAACGTATTTCATAGTTTTAAAAAGTTTTCCACTTAGAAATTTATGTCTCTGTGCTATTTTTACAGACACTCTGTGAACGAGCATAAGGCAGCCATAATACGAAACACCATTCATCAAGAAAGTTGCATTTATTAACTGTTTACATCAGTGAAATTTAATATAATATTATTTTGGGCTTTTCGTAAAAAATTATGATTCCACATTTTAAATCTTTTATTCCTATATAGAAGTTGCAAATGTTATTTTAATATCTAATATCACTACTAAATATAGTCATCTGTGAAAGAAACATGTCGGAAGAATACCGTCTTCTGGGATGTAGCACCGTGTAGATATAGTATAAACCGATGTTTCGGAGGAACGTATCGCCTCTAACTTCAGGGTAGAAGAAAAAATTCACGAGCGAGGAAGCAGATGACGCTGGTTCAGCGTGAGCTGGTTCCTCTTTCGCGAATTTGTTCTTTATTTTTTCTTCTATCCTGAAGGTAGAGGCGATACGTTCCCCCGAAACATCAGTCTATACTATATCTACACGGCGCCACAGCCCAGACGACGGCATTCTTCATAGTCACCCCCGTGAAAACCTCAAATCTTACAAATATATCGGAGTTATAATAGTATTTAATAATCATAACAGAATAAATCAGATACACTTATATGTAGACATTTCATAAGATAATTTTGTGACAAGCTTGTGCCTAACTGTACGGTGGAATTATGTGGATTTGTATTTGATTCTGACGTGACAGTTCAGTTCTTGTCACGTTCGTGGAGTCACGCATAATCAGAAATGATCAGAGTGAAAAGAAAAGCTAAAGAGAAGTGCTTCTTCACCCTACCTTCACTGGTATGCAGATGATGATAAGCAGGAGGTCAGCAGATGCGAGGCTGGCTAGGAACACGTTTGTTGTACTCTTCATGCGTCGGTAGCGACAGATCGTGAAGATGATGAGGGAGTTGCCCGCTATACCAAACACCAGAGTTACACCATATATAACAACAGTAGGAATCAGCTCCGACCAGTTGAAGATATTATGCGATTCATCGTAGTCATATTCATAATCTGCGTCACTCTCGTTTTCTGACGTCGATTTGTTTTGTTTTATTGACAGATATGAAGAATTGTTGCTGTAAATTAATTTCTCTCCTTGCTTTTCAACTTCATTGTCTTCTTCGCCACTGTTACTTGGATTGCTGAATTGCATTACCTCATTGTTAAGATGATTGTTGGTGAAGTATCCCCGGATACTGTAGCTTGGATCATTATTTTGTTCCTGTTCATATTCCGCGTTGCCTTGGTTTCTGTATTCAGGATCAAACTGAATGTTATCACACAAAGTTAGTAACACTGGACTGATGACTAGAAGGTAACACACAACTGCAGTACACGTATGAAACGGGTTCCGGCTGTACGTCATGGCGATGTTTCAGAGTTTCTCACTGTACAGTCTATTTATTTCTTGCTGAACACTCTAAATACATTTGTACGACCTTTCCATTTGCAAATGAAACATGAGATATTTTGTTTTTTACACTCACGTCGCAATATTGGAAAAATTTACACCAATATATTTGTAACTGATTACAATTTAGTATATTTTTTATCTTATATTTCAGTTTGATAAAAAACGATAAAAAGCCGATAATATTAGATTTTCAGCTTAATTTCAGAATTCTGTACTCAACTATTAACATTCACGACAAGTCCTGTTCAGAGTCCTAACTTATTATTACCTGGGGCTTCTCTTATTCAGGTAAGACAACCAAATACAATTCGTTAATTTCCTTTTTGCAATCTACTTTATATGTATAACAAATATTCACTCAAGCTTGTCACAGTTATGCAAACTATTGCTTGCTATGAGGGATGAGATTTTGTGTTAATCAGATATTCATCCGAAGTCAGCATGGTATTCATTCCGTGTGTTGAATGATATAGTATTTATGTATAGATGTCTAGTTGAGAATTTATATTAACTGAATTAACTTCTGACAATTTTCATAAAATAACCAGCCTGAGAGAAGTATGTGATGTGATAGATTATGAAGATTTCTTGGATGTACACCAAGAAATACAGTTTATAAAATTTTTAAATAAATAAATTCAATTTTTGGAATTACATTTCTTCCTTCTTTATCCAGTTCAGTATTAAAGCTTTCTTGAACTTGAAAATGTTCTTGTGGAATCACAGCATTAACACACTTAAATGGAAATTTGTAACTGCTATTTCAATTAAATTGAACAGCTACCGATGTGAAGCGGTTTTGAAGTCTATAATACGTAATTACCACAGAACCATTATTTATCTGATTATCCTTGCTTCCTATTTACAGCGGCTTCGACTTAACGAAACTATTAACTAAACATAACGTTTCATTGCCGTGATATAGTTCACAAGTTGTTATTGATGCTTGTTATCTGTTCGCATTGGTTCACAGAAACTGGGTCATTCAGTAACTTTCTAACAATGCCCCATTGCGAAAACACTACATAACATGAGCAAATCCATTGAATACTACACATGTGTACTGAGTTTCGTATTCATGGATTTCAATTTGAGGTGTCTGCACACGGCCCAGCACTCTACCCCAAGCCCTCCCTTGTTCTCTCGAACAGTGTAATCAAATGGCCAGTATAGTTCTTAGACTGAGTCGTACGGCCGGAGAACATGCCAATATCGACCTTAAAGGAAAAAATGATATATATCCGCTTCCGCGTCGGAAAACCTTGTTGTCGCGGCGCGGCGGGCTACCGCTGAACGGGGTCGTGGTCACGAGGCGACTGACGAAGCAACTCCGACCGCCGTCAGACACGATGTGGCGGGCGGGNCGCCCCCCCCCCGCCACATCTTCCCCTACTGTCGATAATCCCGCCCGATTCCTCCTTGATGTTGGAATTAATAATATTGGTGGATTCCCGGACTCCGGTCTGACGAAGGAGTTAGGGACGTTCTTCTTCGTATTCGGGAGGCCCATTGTTAAATTCTTGAGTCTGATTGCGGCTACGTCGAGGCTTTTTGTGGCAGAGAAAAGTGTATTAAAATATGCCTCTGTTGCTCACTGACAGGTTCTTACGAATTATCATTCTTGTTCATTCTATATTCAGCGATCAGTATGTGAAGACACGTAATTCACCATTTCAAAATTTGATTTGTTCATTAAGCACGCTGGTGCTCCGGACGGAAGTTGGAATGTGTAATAGATTTGTAGTACTTGAAGTATTATACGTAGTTACCACCGTTAAAGACGAATTTTCTTCCTCCATTGTCACTGTCGAACCTTAAGAAGAAAGTAATCCAATTAGGTCACGTCAGCACAGTACCGAAATCTATCCCAGGTAAGAAGCCTACTGCTGCTTCTGTGAAATATTTTCATTATTTCATCGCTAGTACGACTATATTATCTGTCTTCCTCATTGTTGTCTATTTTGTTATTTAACAATACTTTTATCTAAATCGGCTACAATGCATTTTAATATAAAACGTCAAAGAGTAGCAATGTTGCTGAGTGATGAATTGCAAAAGGAAACGATCGTGGATTGTTCTAGAGTTTTCCTGGGTAAAAAGTAAGTAAAAGTATTCAGTTCAGTTATTCAGTATTGAGGGGGTGGGTTACCCCATGCACCGCGACCAGTTTGATCTATTGTGCATCCCCCATTGAATTTCTACTGTCTCCATACCCTACCGGTACTGGTGCTTGCTATCGTTCCCTTTCTGCCAGCGAGGTTTCGGCCTTCTACTGGCAGTGGTATCTAATAGCTAGTCCCTTTCTGTCAGTGAGGTCGTCCCTCCTCTGGCAGTGGTACCTAAGCTCCCCCATCTACCGGAGGCGTTGGAAACTACTTGGGCGGGAAATTGCCTAAATTTAGCTCAGAGGTCTCCTAGAGACATGAGGTTCTTTTACGTTTATATCAGGTCAAGGTGCAATTTGTTTTTAAGTGTGAGGTGGATTACAATGTGTTGTTGAATTTTCGGGTTGTTAATTGAAATTTTAGCATGAAGTTGGATTTGGTTGTAATTTGTTGAAGATTGTTTGGATGATGCTGGTCCTAGAATATGTACACATCGCCCGTCGCTCTCATTATTTTTGTTGAGATAAGTCGTAACATAGTGGCCGTACCGGAAGTTGTGGCTGGATTGATCAGATTTATCTGGAGTTGGAATATCATTTACACGTTGTCTGAGGCGGATTGGTTTATTTTTCTTTTTGGCATGTTTTAATTTGGCTTGGGCAAACTGTTGTTTTGTTGTTGTATTTTATTGAGTATCTTTGTATCTTTGAGTGTGCATATTTTATCACTGCTTACACGATGAATAAATATTATTAATACTCATCCATGATATGTGTACAGTGGCCGTCTTATAGTGCACTCAGTTTCTCCTGTTACTTCACGACATGTTTCGGCAACATAATGCCATCATCAGGTGCTCTAATTACGCTAATCTATTGCATTGTTTGCCATTATATGTCTTTATAAAATTATTTTAAAAATATTTAAAAAGTGCGTATTCGTCAACTATAATAAATTTATACACACTAAAACTTAATGTTTTACGCAGAAACTTCCTTCTAAAAGAAGTTATTGAAGGAAAGATAGAGGGGCGGATAGAAGTGACAAGAAGACGAGGAAGAAGACGTAAGAAGATGCTGGATGACCTTGGGGACAGAAGAAGATACTGTCATTTGAAGGAGAAAGCTCTAGATCGCATTACCATATTTACGCATGTATAGGCCGCACATTTTTTGCCAAAAATTCAAGAGGAAAACTGGGGTGCGGCTTATATTCGAAATATTCGAAATCACACTTCATTTAAAAAAATTATATTCATAATTAGTAATACAGGGTGTAATACTCCTGAAATAATATTCCAAGAAAATTATTTTTTCTATAATTTCTGTCTGAAAATTGTGCTGCGGCCTATACACGCACGCGGCCCATACATGCGTAAATACGGTAAGTGGAGGAATTGTTTTGGAAGAGACTGACCTGTCGACGCTCAGATTACTGATGATGATGATGATGATGATGATGATGGTGATGATGATGTGTCTTAATTGAAACTTGCTTGTGGTTCTTCCACTATGGGGGTCGTTTTTCTTATATTCTGTGTAAACCGTGTCTTGTGATGTGTGTCACTATCCTTAAGGTGTTTCTATTCAAATTGTAACGTTGTCCAAGTCGATTCCGAAGACATCCAAACCTCCTATCAAGTGGGTACCAGAGGCTTTTATCTCCGGGGGTAAAGCGGCCGGGGCGTGAAACTAACCACTCACTTCCAACTACTGCCGAGGTCTAGAATACGTGGTTCTATATATCTACTCCCCCATACGTCTTAATTTTGTGGTACGTAATTAGTTAAGAACGGAAGAAACCTTACCTTTACCCGATGTGTTATTACCCTACACGTCTCCCCACTTCATTCGTAATTTAATTACTGTCATGCTAATCTAGTTAGTGAAGACAAAATTTATAGAATTTTTATTTCCTTACCTTCATAAAAATCTAGTTAGTGAAGACTTAAAAGTTATAAAGTTCTTCATCAGGAGTACAGAATTTTTGCTGTACTCCTGTCATTCCATCCCCCTCTCTCTCATATTCAAGTTCTTTTTCAGTACTCTGTTCACATATGCCACTATTGTGCTCTTGCAAGATACCAATTTTCACATTCATGTAAAGCAAGAAGTTCTAGGGAGGAATAATCCCATACTTTCCTTGACATGATATGGATCGTGTAGAAAACGTCTCGCCCAACAATTCTTCTGTTGTTTCGTATGTATTCGTCGTTGAGCTATTGCCTTGCAACGAAATTACTATTATTTATCGAAATATTACCTTGTAATGACAATTGATAAAAAAAGCTCTCCCTGTAACAGGCCGTGAAGGCCCATAGGGTTCTGAGCCGTTTAGGGTCCCACATTATCTAGACAATCGGCTCAAAGATGGCGGTAAGGTTGTCAGCCTTACGCGCCGTCAGCGCTTTACTCCCCACGAAAATTATTTAATTAATTCTTGGTACTCATTTCTGTTAGAGGCTCAGTCGACCCTAGGGCCATAGTGCGGCTGGAAGAATTAGGTCAATTGAAAAAAATCCAATGACCTCATCGGGACTTGAACCCGCGAATTTCCGGCTTGTAGCATAAGGGATAAACATACAGAAACACAGACTGATTGTAAGGACATATGAAGCACGCCGTCGAGGTGGGCTCAGATTCCATGGTACACATACCAAGTTTCACAACGATTGATTCAGACATTCAGAAGTTAATGCGGGGGGGGGGGGCATACAGACAGCTTGGAGACCGCATAAGCCTACTTTGCTTTTTTAAAGTAAGGAAAATTGAGAAAGATGGTTAAAATTATATATATATATTTTTTTAATACTTTGGTGTTTAGATGGGAGATGAAAAGATACAGGATGGTGAATTCCGTTGTAGGAAGCATTCTCCTAACTGTACTTGCTCCCGACTTCTTCGTGGATACATTCTGGCTGAGCAGTCAATAACTTATTTTCAGGAAACTCATTCGTGTTATTGTGTACGTTAAGATTGACTAAAGCTATCGTATCTAGGTATGAGTAAGTTTTTATTATTTAATTGAAGTGGACATTTCATGTTTCTTGTGTATGAATACGTGATCTGTAGTCACATAACAGTGTCTGTAATTCCTTTCACTGAGGAATGTAGTTCATAGAATGCTCAGAAACTTGCGACTTCGAACTGGCAAGTTTACAATTCACCCACTTAAGTTTTCAATTTCCTCTTTTTTTCGTTATGACAGAACATTTGTTCATGGACTCCGCCTTTCTGTTCATCGTTCTAATAGCATTTCATTATGAGTTTTGGTGCATACAGTTGTTTACTCAATAAGCTTATTAATTTTAATGGCCGTGCTTTGAATTTTCTTCTAACAATGAGCTCTGTCTTCCCTCCTTATGCATTCTGTTCTTTATTTTAGAAGTTAAAGGGGAAGAGACATTAACCACATTTTTAATGTTACATTTAAAAAAACAGGTACAGTTTTGATATAATAATGACAATTACTGTTTAGTCCTATTATGCGGTCGTCACGTATTTTAACAATTTATAATGTTACTTCTTGTTTAGTACAGAAGGCCAGTTAGTTACTTTCACAGAAAGACTTCAGATACACTTGAATGTTGTGTAGAAGTGAAATCGTTTAAAAACCACATGGCCCATGGTTCGGTTGATACAGGAAGAATCTGCATTTTATACCAAGGTCTAGAGCCCTTGTAAATATAATAATAACTGAATAATTAAATACATTTTATCGAAAGGTTGTTAGTAAGTTTATTCTGCAGGACTCATGAAAAATTAATAACATATTTCCAACTCTCAGACATCTGTTTATCTTCAGCTTTTCTGCATCTGTGGGAACACGAGTTAGCGGGATACACAACAGCAGGGAGCCCTGGAGAAGTGAGATATATGGAATGAATATCCATTTGCTTTGAGCTACTGATAAAGTCGAAATAGACTGTCAAGACTTGGTAAGAGATCCCCTGAATGCGATAAGTTATCACTTGAGAAAACGTGAAAACAATGTTGTACCGCGCAAATGCATGTAATTACTGTGGAACAACGTAGTTACTGTATGGCTTAGGAAGACAAAGGACGATCACAGTACGGGATGAGACAGATGACGTTCTTGCCACGTCATAAATGANGTGGGGGGGGGGGGGGTTCAAGAATGATATGAGATACATAAGTTGTGTTATGTTTACATAGGTGAGGCCTACATTGGACACAGATACCACCTGGTTCTAG